GGAAGTGCACGAACCCCAAACCCTGCATCCCAAACCCTAAACTCTAAATCCTAATATAGTGGGCCCAAAGGGCCAAATGATTACCAATACTATTTTTGGGGGGTTCCTTGCTATGGTCTTAGTATCATATATTCCAAGAAAACCCATTCAAAATTATTAAGGGCCCTATTCTATTCATTAAGGGCCCCTTTTTTTACATTGGGACAGCCCTAAACCCTAAACCCTAAAACCTTTTCAAAATTATTAAGGACCCCTTAGGCCCTATTCTATTCATTAAGGGCCCTTATTATAGCTCTAGTATCATATACCCCAAAAGAGCCCTATTCAAGATTATTACGGGCCCCTTAGGCCCTTTTTTCACCTTGGACAGCCCTAAACCCTAAACCCTAAACCCTAAACCCTATTCAAAATTATTAAGGGCCCCTTAGGCCCTTATTATAATTATAGCTCTAGTATCATATACCCCCAAAAAAGCCCTGTTCAAGATTATTAAGGGCCCCTTAGGCCCTTTTTCTTAACGTTGGGACAGCCCTAAACCCTAAACCCCTAAACCCCTAAACCCCTAAACCCTAAACCCTAAACCCCTAAACCCTAAACCCTAAACCCCTAAACCCTAAACCCTGGGGCCCTTGTTTTAACGTTGGGACAGCCGTCAGGATCCTTCAAATGCTCTAAGCGACGCTGCCGCCCGAGCCCTGGGGATGTACCTGCCCATGTCCAGTACCTTACGCGTCGTAGGGTTTAGGCTTAGGGCCAGTAGGGCCATTTTATAGGGTTTGGGTTTAGGGTTTAGGGTTTAGGGTTTAGGGTTTAGGGTTTAGGGTTTAGGGCTTAGGGTTGAGGGTTGAGGGTTTAGTGGTCGAGGTTTATAGGGCCTGGGCCTGGGGCCATTTACCTATAGACCCCTAAGTAGTTCCTTTTTGGGATTATCTTATAGGATTCTAAATATAAACCATAAAAAGGAGCCACTTAGGGGCCTATGGGTAGAGGGGTTTTGGGGTGGTTACCGGTTGGGTGTTGAATGGTCGTACTCAGACGTATATGTTTTCATACGAAGAAGTCGTCTTCTGGTTTTGGGTGTACTGTGTCAGTCATGGTGTTTGAGGACTCTTCTGGGTTTTGCAGTGCCGTGAAATTTTGTTATTGACAAGTCTGTGTGTACCTGAGTTGGCTGGGTCTGTGCAAGGTCTTGCAGACCATGCGATGATTGCGAGGATTTACTAGACATGATACGTACGAGGTTGCTGTTCCCGGCGCATTTTGCTTGCTCTTGTTTGGCATTCGAGGCCTGATAATCCGTCTTCAAAAATCTATCGGTCGTGCTCCTCGGCCCAACGCGGTTCTTCAACCCTGAACCCTTACCCTAAACCTGAAAACCTAGGCCATACCGTAAACCCTACAAGCCCTACAACCCTGTAGTGCTGCATCCAAATCAGGTTTGCGGCTGTCCGAACTGATTGCATGAAGGGATTAGTTAGGGCTTCAGGGTTTTAGGGCTTTGGCGTTTGGGTTTGGGGCTTTAGGGTTTTAGGGTTTAGGTTTAGGGCAACGCCTTTTCGGAAGGATATCTTCCTACAGTCCTGACATCATGTAAGGCGTGCACGGCTTGAGCATACCTTACGTATGTGCTAATATGCAGCAGGTACCCTGCTTGGCGTGCCAAAGTTCATCCACAAACCTTATGCCTAAACCCTAGAGTCTGACCCCTTGTACGTGTAAACCCTAGGCCCCAACTTAAATCAATAGGCTTAAGTCCCCAAGCTCCTTTTCTTCTCTTGGTGTGGGTCTGCGGCATTCCCTTCGGTAAGTAAGTAAGTATGTATGTACGTATGTATGTTTGTATGTACATATGTACATATGCATGCATGTCTGCATATAAATAAATAAATAAATATATATGTATATATATTTCACACGTATGTATGTATATATGTATGTATGCACGTACGTATGTATGTATGTATGTATGTATGTATGTATGTATGTATGTGTATATGTTTATATGAAATCTACGTGGTTTAGGGGTTCACGGTGTAGGCCCTTGACATAGGTGCTGTAGCTTCTTGAAGTTACATATGAGCAGCCAAGGTGCGATTCTGGTTGAGCAATCGTTTGAGGGGTGCCGGCAGTAGCATGTCGAAAGCCGGTTCTTCCTCATCTCAATGGGAGAGGCCCGATAATCAGGGTTAGGGTTTAGGGTTTAGGACTAAGTTTCGGGCAATGTCAAAGAGGTGGAAGCATGCTTGATGTGTATGCTACGTGACGACACTTGCCACTTGTACACACGGAGGGAAAGCCACAAGTCAATAACGCTTCAATAACGTGTGTGCGATAGTGTGAAAGTGAAAGCTTGTCTCTGAACCTCCATTTCTGTGTGAGTACAAACAAATACATACGTAGATAAACAAAGTACAATCTATATATATATATATATCATATAATAATATAATATACATACACACCCAGAGAAAAGCACACACACACAATATTGTATGCATCGTTCTCTGTCCGTCTCTCCTTGTTTCTCTTGCGCATCTGTGCTCTCGTGGTCGCCCGGCCCCTGCATAAATAAAAGCACACGTCCAAACACGGGCAACACTTGTATAGCTTCCTTGCCTAGAGAGGTACGGGCGTTGCTGCAACACAAAGCACTCGATAGCCTAATCAGGAGCAAGACTACATCATCGATGCGATAGTTGCTATATCACTCGACTGCTCACCTAAGCCCCAAGCCCCAAAACCTTAAAGCTGTTCAAATGCTCATCTCGAACACGAGCTTCTCCCGAACCCGTCTAGGCTGCCGTAGGCGAACCCTTAAAGCAACCCTAACAGAATGCTTTCAAGGAGCCCTTCAAGGAACCGATCTTCCTACCCTAGGAGTCCAAGTGCCCAAGTAGTAGGGAGTTAAGTATCACAAACCGTTCAGAATGTGATTATGAAATGTCAAAGCAACGCTATTTGGGTACTTGGGCCCTCTTCAGCTTCTGGGTCCCTTCTTGAGCTCTCATGAGATCAAGCCCAGAAGTCTCCCGAGAAACGGCGGGAGGCTCCGTCCCGGTTTGGGCTGAAGAAGAAGTTTAGGGTTTAGGGTTTAGGGTTTAGGGTTTGGGGGAAGAAGATGTTTTTGGGAGTGCATGCAGAAAGCGATGTAGGGAATATACAAGGGGACACTATCACTAGGTAATCAGACCCTTTTTTAAGGAAGATTTTCATTCCAAACTGTTGAGCCTGCGAAGGCGACTAACCTCTCAAGCGTTTTCTAGTTCGTCTTGTGGCAATCATCCTCCATGCTGAGGATTGCGAACAAAAGACATGTGGCAAACCTCAGTCCACCTTTCGGGCCGCACCTCTTGAATGAAGCTAATGGTTGTCGAAGCAACACGGCCATGGCAGAAACAAACACATGCACATGGAAAAACACACACATATATATATATACATATACATGTATATATATATATATCAGAAAGCACTCAAGTTGCGTATACATCTACAGATGTTTTGCATGTGCATGTATACATACCAGCAGTAAATAAACACATATACACACATACATATATATATATATGGTGTATATATTCATTTATATATAGAGTTATACGTATATTATACATTCATGTGTATGCATGTACGTACGTACGCACGTGCGTACGTATGTATGTACGTGCAGAAAGAATACGTATGTATGTGTATATATTTATGTTATACCTACACATCCATCTATCCATCCATCTGTCCATCCACGCATCCATCCACCCATCCACCCATCCTTCCATACACAACATATACATAAATACATATTCAAAGGTACATGCATATGCATGTGTACGTGTATATGTATATGTACAGGTACATGTGTGTGTATAAATAAATAAAGAAAAACAAACAAATAAATGTATATATATATATATCTGTGTGTGTGTTGCACGTGCATGTATACATACCAACAGTGAATACCTGTGCACCTGTGTATATATATATACATGTATAGATACAATCATAGTTTTACGTATGTTAAACATTCATATATGCTGCAGGGCCGACACCCCCCTTCCCCCTCCCTCTCTGCTCCCGGCCCCTGTGGTTTCGTTGTGGTGGCGGGCTCTGCACCTCCCTCAGCTGAGGATTTGGTTGGCCTTGACGCAAGTCGACAATCGGATCATCTTTGACATCATGCTGAACATCATNNGTCATCTTCATCATCGGTACCATCAACAGAACAGCTGGCACCGTCACCATCGCCATACAACCCTCGTAATTGTAATACATGTCTGATGCAGGAAGCTACTGCTGCGCAAATTGCCGCTGTCTGCACGGAGCAGGGGTTGGGTACCATAGGGGGTGGGGGGGGAAGTGCCATAGACCCAATCCACGCAGCAGCAGGGGCAGCTGGCGGGAGTGGGGCGCCATAATAAAGGAAGGGGGAGGTGGATAAAATATCATGGGGGGTGGTGGCCCGGGACCCGAGAGCACATATGTGCATGCATGCGCGTCCGTATGTACGTACTTATGTAAGTAAGTATGTGCAAAAAGAACATGTATGTATGTGTATATATATATACACGCACACATACATCCACCCATCTATCCATCCATCCATCCATCCCTCCATCCCTCCATCCATCCCTGCATCCCTCCATCCGTCCGTCCGTCCATCCATCCATCCGTCCGAATCCATACATCCGAATCCATAACATCCACTCATCCACCCATCCGTCCACAGACAACATTTACAAAAATACATACATACATACACACACATACGTACGTATATACTCATCTGAAAACATATCGACACATGTATATATATATATATAGATAGAGATAGATAGATAGATAGATAGATAGATAGGGTCGGATCTGCTTATGAGCACGCATAATGCATTGCATATTAACGAAAACAGACAGAAGAGAAACCTACACACGCGGTTCATATTTCTTCCTGCTCGGCACCTCTTGAACCCAAAAGACCCCGAAACCCTGAAACTCGGCCGAGCATCCTCCAGAGACGCCAACTCTCCGCCCTCGTCTAGGAAGACATCGCTCAAGGCGCTCTTCCGGGACTGTCTCTGCACCACCTGAGTCGATGGAAAATGGAGACCGTGCGGTTTAGCGTCATCCCAGTGGCCCCAACTTCCAATTCTTCAGGAAGAGACCTGAAATGAAAGGGTTGACGGGGTTTCGTAGGATTGTATAAAGATTCTCTAAGGAATAGGCATTACATGAAAGAGTGCTTCTTTATTCTGACTTAAACTACGTGAAGCTCGATGTCTTTGTGAAGCGATATTAGGCTCTCTGATATATTAATGCCGGTGGCGAGGGTCGGAACAAGCAATCATCGTTCTCCCCGTCATAACGGTTTCGGTTTAGAGTTCAGGGTGTGTAGAATTTAGGGTAGCAGCAGAACTAGAACACAACTGAACTTACCCATCATGATAATCTGGCAAGGCACGCTGACAAATCTCCGCGCATAGCTGCTGGCAGCATGATGCGTGTCGGATCTCTCTGCCAAAATCGAGCAAAATTTCGGAGCATCGAGGCTCAACAGTTCCGAAGTAGCCTGTGCCTCGAGAATGCCCAGGTGCACCCAAGGTGCCTCAGCGGAATTCTTGGGGCTTCGGGTTTAGTCTAGTTAAAAGTTTCAGAGCCATGGGCTTTCGTACCCAACTTACAGTTAAGTATGATCAAAAGTGATGCAACAAGCATGATCAGGCCAGCAACAAAGCCAACTGAAACCCCGGATGCTTCAATCACCTAAACTCTAAACCCCTAAAGCCTTAACCCCTAAACCCTAAACCCCTAAACCCTAAACTGCCTAAGGCTTCAATCATTGCCTCCAAGAGATTCGACTGCAGAGAGTTTCCCCACTAGCTTACCCAGACCCTCCAAGATACCCCTAGTTAAGGAAATATATTTTATAAACCCTTAAACATTGTAGTAGAATCCCAAACTTGATTTACGGTATGGTCCGTAGTTAAGCGATATTGGAAGGTCTGGGTGCCTGGAATCCCAAGCACCTGTAGAATGATAGGCTACTCTCCCTGTATGCCCGTACTAAACCGGCCGGACAAAAAAAGGGGGGGCCGCTCGTCGGATGGAACCATGTAAAAGGCAGAAGCAATTCGGGGTTTGTGGCTCCAAGACATAACTCACTACTCCGGTTTCTATATGGTTGTGAGCATCCTATTAATGCGATGTTTGAATAGGTAAGCCGTGCAGATTCACGCTTCGGGCTTGAGGCTATCATATGTGCAAGATATCGGAAAATCCAAACCTGCCGGCCTGTTGAAAAGCAGAATGCAAAACGTTGAAGCCGTCGTTCCTTCATGGTATGTTGAGGGGATTCTGCAACCCTAGAGCGCGAACACCCTAAGTTACTCAAAGATCCGTATGGTCGCCAAGAAAGACATCAAGCACCAAAGCCAAGGAACCCAGAGGCAAATCTCTGCAACCCAACGAGCATCATCAATGAACTGGAACTCACCGTCCTTTCGGCGGTGGGGCTGGAATTTAACATTTTGTAACAGGCGAAGGTGGATACCTGCGGGGTTCTAGGGCACTGTATGCGCTCTACGTCTTTGCATTAATTCCCAGGAGGGCTTCCATATGATCCTCTTTACGGTTTTGCAGGATTTGTACATGGCTTTGTGCGAGTTTGTTCGAGGCTCGAAGGCTTTCGCGCGGGATCTTCGAACCAAAAGCAGGGTTTAAGGCTCTTAAGGTGGTTGAAAATTTACATGCACCGTCTCATGGCTTATGGAGAGGCTCTGCAAGGTTTCTGCCTAGGGTTTATCGGGTTTGGGGTTTAAGGGACAAGCATATCCTTCGTGTAGCTGAGGTGGCCGTTCATCTTCAGATATGAGGTGGTCGCCTGGGCTTTGAAGGAACCAGGCGGACAAACACATACACTCGTATTTCATAATGGTTCCTTTAAGGAACCACAGGTCCAAAAGACAAGCATTCAAACGTGGTACTCCAAAACCCTAAACCCTTAAACCCTAAAACCCTTAAACCCTAAACCCTAGCCCCTAAACCCTACGCCCCGTTGCAATGTTGCCCCCGACGAAGATCACATCCCCCTTCGCCGCCACGGAGGGGTAGAGGCTGTCATGCGCCATCCTGCAGAAGTCAGCCCGAAGTGTCCATGTACCCTTTAAACCCTAAACCCCTAAAACCCTAAACTCTAAACCCCTAAACCCTAAACCCCTAAACCCCTAAACCCTAACCCCCTTTTAACTTTAAAGAGATCCTTTAAGGGATCCCTCTTTAAGGGAGTACTAGAACGGTTCCCACAAGGGGGGCTGCTTAGATCTTCAAACCCTCAGAACTAAACCAAACAACCGAGAAGCCTCGTCCATCAAAGGCTCAGCAGTCCTGACACTAGCACTCCTCCTCCTAAACCTCTCCCTAAACCCTAAACCCTAATTGTTGAGTTCGAGACCCCTCAATCCTACCAGCGCGACTTGCCCCAAATGGAGGCCCTCCCCTTCAACTTGTCCTTAGGCGGGTACCCTAGCGTAGGGGCCTAAGTCTTTGGGAATAGGGTTTTGGTGTATACTATGATATAGTTACACGTTCTGCAACTATGGTATAATTACATTCAGGAGTTTTCGGGAATAATATTGGTAATTTTTCTGGCCCCAATACTGACTAGACCCTGAACCCTGAACGCCCACCGGAACCCGCATAGATCCCTGTGGCCCGAAAAGCTGCAAAACCAGCCCACGTCGCCTATGGAGAGCATGATGGCAATGCACCTGAGAAAGTCACGGCACCCGATTGTTGGCCCTCTATGTTTAGAGTTTAGGGTTTAGGGTTCTATTCGGGCCGGATAGTTTAGGGTTTAGGGTTGATATAGCCAGGAGCCCGAAGGACTAAGGAATGATAGTGGTCTTGGTAACTAATTGTTCAGACTTCTATGCTAGACTCCTACTATCTCCCACTGTATGTCCCTGAACCCGAAGCCGTAGCGAAAGACATCCCACACCTGCGGCAACAGGCGGATCGTCAAAGTCAAGGTCCATCATAGAGAGAGGGTTCAGGGGTCTACCACAAGTAGCCGGGTTTGAGGTTTCATAAAACCCTACGTATACCTGAACCACAAATAACCTACCTTTTTAAGGCTGTATATAGAGAAATCATAATAAGGAGCCCTAAAAAGGTAGGTTCTTTGGGGTCCAGGTAAACCCTAGACCGTGGCTCAGGATCATCCACAGGGCATCCTGAAATGTGCGATTCTAGAAAGAGGTGCGCCTGAGAATGCTGGGGAGAGATTGGGGTCAACGGTCCCTAACAAAGAGCCCCGAACGACTCACACTCACACATCATATACTCCGTTGTTATCGGGATATACGTCTACAAGGCTTCATAAACCCCCTAAACCCTATTGAGGTCTCTGTGGCTCAGAGACCCTGAATCCTAAACATTAAACCCTGAACCGGAAACCCCTAAACCCCACCTAAAAAACAAACACACACACACACATAAACCCTAAAACTTTGTAACCCTGAAGCCTAATGGCCTTAAAGCTTGAACCCACGGTGGTTTTTTTAATGTTGGATTCTTCTAAGTCCCAGGCCCTGGGGGTAAGGGTATTGACGAGGATCTTGCAGGGCCCTGCCACTCAGATCAGGGGTTTCAGGATTCAGACTGATTAGGTTTAGGGTTTAGGGTTTAGGGTTAGTGTTACTATCCCAAAGGGTCCTATGTACCTTTGCTAGTAGAATGTAGGGTTTCTGTATT